GGAAGGGGGGGGGGGGGGGGGGTGGGGGGGGGGGGGGGGGGGGGGGGGGGGGGGGGGGGGGCTTACTTATTTTTTTGAGGTTTATTTCTTTCAAAATGATGGCTTTGCCTCTGTCTCTGTTGGCCTCTGCATGTGGCGCTTTGGTGGGCTGACTGCGTTGGAAATGCTGGTTAGCCGTGGTTTTGGGGTAATATGCTAAATGTATTCACGTCTGCTTTCAGGGTGTTCCTGGTAACCCAGGATTGCAGGGACCCCCAGGTACTCCAGGAGATCCTGGTGAGAGGGTGAGTGAGTGCTGGACTCCATTTTACAGTTTATTGCAGCTGCGTCACAGCTGCAATAAACTGTATATCAATTTAAACTTTACACCATCTCTTTATTGTGGTGTAAAGTAAATGTCTATGTTTTGAAATTATATTAAAAGTCAGTAGAAGCAAGCAGTCCGGTTTCCAAATTAGCTTTGATGGAGAGTGGAAATATTTGAACGCAAATCTTTAATCATTTGTGGACTTCAAGAGTGCCTTTCCATTCTTCTGAAAGACTCTCGAAGCTTTAATCGCAAATGAAATTAAAAGTGTACTTTTGTCTGAAAGGATGTTCAGGTTTTGGCCCAGATGAGACACTTTTGATGTCGTCTCTGGTTGAGGATTGGATTAACACGAGTAATGTCGCACCTGTAACCAATATCCTGCTGCAGTCCAAGTCTGATACCTTGAAAGGGCTTCAGAATACAATTCCCCTCCCCCTCCATGGTGGTTATCCATGTTGCTTGCATAGGAATCTTTTTCTGCCTCACTTTTTCCTTCCACTAAGCTTTCCTTGAAAAAATATTTTGATGGGTCACCCTGTGAACAGCCAGGTTGTTCAGTAATAGCATTTTGTGGTTTACTGCACTTGAGAAGCGCATCAATGACTGCCTGCTCAACAACTGTCAAGTCTGCAGTCTTCAGGCAGTAACACTTTTGTGTTGTCAGTACTTTTTCGTTTTACTTAAAATTGTAATTTGCAGGCTGAAATATGTTTCAGTTTTTCATGAAATTCCTGAATTAAATTAACTGCTGTTCTGTGAAGAAAATTCTGACAAACTACAAAAACGACTTGGAAAAAAAATACTGCAGTTTGGTATGCAATCAGTTTATGGAAAGTTTGGGGGGGGAAATCAGCTGTGCTGCTGATCAGTGGGATTGCTGAAGAAGTTTTCTTTGAAATTTGCAGAATTCCTGAAATTACATTTTTTTTACATCTCTATTTAAATCTAATCATATATTTGGTTTACTTGATGATACAAAGGATAATCTTGCTTCATCCAAAACTGCCAACTATTTTCTTTCTGAAAGGAAACTTGGGGAACAAATAGGCCACTTGCTAGTTTATTCAACTGCTTTCACGAGTACAAAAGTTTTATTGTTTCACTGAGTCAGGGTGATAAAAAAAAATAATTTCTGTTCATCCAGAAAGTCTGTCCTCCCTCTTCTATTTCCTCTCATGGGACGAAATTGCTGCGGACTGACAGGGACATTAGAGCTGAGTGGTTTCTGTGCTCTGCGGTTTTCCTTTACGCAGTTTCTGCATGCCGCCCTCGCTCCCCAAAGCACTCAGAAACCCCATCCCTTCCAGCCGTCATTAACGCTAGATGCCGCTATGCTCATGGTCGCAACTGTGGATGGGGAAAATTCACAGACACTGGGGAAAAAAAGCGAATGGAAACACATGGTATCAATCAGAGCCAAGATGAGATTGCAGCACAAGAGAGACTGCTAAGTAGATTGTTGTTTCTCTCAAAGTATTAGGCCCTGCCTTAAGCCTTCAATTAATTTCTGATGTTTGTGTACGTCTTTACTCAAACTCTTGATGTTGTAATTCATTATAAAAGTCCTTTTTTTGCAGCAGTTTAAAATTTTTTTTATTCTTTTATGTTTATCCTTCCTTTCTAAAAATCTAAACTTCTGTATTGATATCCATATCATTAGTTAGCGACCTTCTGGGAGTGCCTCAAGTAGCTAACCTCAGACAACATGTTACTTTTAAAATAATGTGGCAACCACTGATTTTATATGAAAGGCAGATGTGGCATGCTGATGTCACCCTTTAGTGTGAAGAGGATTGTTTTGAAACCCTAAACTCAGCGTTTGGGTGCCATCTTCGCGCTCCGGAGTTCTCGCATCCCAAAGTGATGAGTGCCGCTAACTGAGCCATTCTGGGATGTGGCGTGAATGTACAGGAGCTGTCACTGAAGAGAATGAAACATTTGTTTCATTTTGCATCGAGCTATAAAGAGACTGTTGTCAGAGCTCTAAACATTTTTGTTTCTGTGGGAATAGATTCACTTTTGGAGCCAGTGCCAAGTGATCATACAGTAAGTTGCTGCCAGCATAGCCCCACCATTGTTACCGAGTTTTTATTTTTTTAAGGTTTATTGAGACAAACTTATTAACCCAGTTTTCTCATGCAGGCAACATTCTTTCTTTAGATGATTAAAAATGTAGTATTTTTTAACTAAACACTAAACAGAACAATAAAATGAACTTCCCATTAAGGCTAATGTTTGCATCATCCACCAAAACCTTGAGGCATACTGTTATTGAAAATAGTAACATTAATGTTGATTTTGATTTGACTTTAGCAGATGTGGGTCCTCAGGACAGCGAAAGTCCTTCCAAGGCGACAAATAAATTACTGGAACACAGAGTTTGAAATCCTGATATCTGAAAAAAGACAGCCTTCTAAATTGTACATCCAATCACTCCTTTACCAATGCAATGGTGCAGAAACTGGTGTTGCAATGGCAAATATAATTTGATATATTGCGGGAAGATCTGGTAAACAAGGTGTACCTGATAAAGTTGCTGGTGGGTTCATGGGGACGAGTGAGAGCACAGTTAACTGGCCTAACGAATAATTACCATACACTGCTCAGTTGCACAGCACTACCAACACAGACTTTAACTTTAAACCGATTTTTAATATCGCACTCTTTTGCATAGCCATGAATATGATTTCATGCTTCCATGATATCGTGTCCCGTTTGAGATGTTCTGTCTTTGCCTTTTTAGAAATGTCTGATTTTCTCCCGTTTTCACTGTGCAGGGTCCTCCTGGCCGTCCTGGTATTCCAGGTTCAGACGGTGTCCCTGGCCCTCCAGGTACCGTTCTGATGCTACCAGTAAGTCCTGCTGCTTTCTATGTACTTTTAAGTTGTATTTTTTTTTTTTTTGTCCTTTTTCTCACATATTGCTTGAGTCTAATTGTAGTCGATAACCCATGAACTCACCTCAGCGGGTAAATTTACCATGTTGCAGAAACAGTAGGCCAGCGATGGCAGCCTGTTTTCTTTAGGTAACAAATCATCGGCCTTGTAAATGTCAGCCAGTTCAATGGAGTGGAACCAGCGACTGAGGTTTTCAAAAGCTCAGCCAATGACACATATTTATGAGAGTTGCTGTTTGTGCTTGAAAGGTGTGGGGTTAACAGGTTTAATAGACTACCTCCTATGGGGGTGACTATTAGATATGCTACTCTGTAAAAACAAAGACAAGTCCATTTACTTTTAATTTTCTTTTCCTTGTGGCCTACAGTTCCGTGCGGGTGGTGAGGCACACAAGGGACCTGTGATAACAGCCCAAGAAGCTCAGGCGCAGGCCATCCTATCTCAGGCTAAAGTGAGTATCGATGGAAATATTTCATTCTGAAACTCTTTGTGATTGAACTTGCAAATAATATTCTTCACCAAAGTGTTTCTTTAGTTTAAACACTAAAATACTCAAATCAGCATGCACATAAAGGAGCAGTGCATTGCAGAAGTCCCAATCAGGATACAAACAAAGCTTTGGACCCAGGTCAGGCTGAGAAGTGCCCAAAGCCGCAGCAGATACTCATACCCACTCAGCGGTCCTGACAACCGTAGCACTGTTGAAAACAGGTTGAACTTGGGCGCTTTCATCTGGGTGTGATATATTATCACACACATGGAGATGATTAAGCCTCACACAACCACTGAATATTTAAAGCTTTAGAAGTATGCTGAGCTCAGTGGCTCCCACAAGCGGAGTTTGTTCATGGTTAGAAGGCATTTGTCACCTTTCAGTACTCAACTTGTCATGCCAACAATTCGGTTTGGCGTGGGTAAATAGAAAACTAAATGCTTTTCCATACTTCTGTGTTTATTTATTCTCTCTGACCTTTCTAGGCAGCGCGTATTTGTTCGTTCTGTCCAGGTGTTCAGTTATGTACAAATTAGGACATGAATAGGTTTCTGTCTTTTACGTCATTGTGTCATCACACTACAAATAAATGCCAGACAACATTTCTGGCTGTCGCGCACTGTGGTCAGCTATGAGCAGAAGAAAATGCTGAAGTGGTAAACTGTGAACAAGACATGCGGCTCTCAGAGAGCCTGAAATGAATATTTCTGTGGTTTTATTGAGCTATTATAAGATGGTTTATGACGTTGCAAATCCTTACAAATAGCTTTGTTTTTTTTGTTTTTTATTTTTATTTTAGACATTTATTCTATTTTAAATTGTGGGCAGTTATAAGAATGACCTTACATGGTTAAACACTATCAGCAGTTTTTGCAAATTCGCCTTTAACAAGAACTATTTGGCAGTTTTATTTACACTTGGTTAACAGTCTTAGTTCATTTATTACATTTTATATTTTATACATATTCAGAGGCATTTCAGTAATTGGGAGATTCAGAGTACTTTACATGATATTACATTTTTCAAATGTAAAAATCAAAATCATCACAAATTATCATTGGAGTAAAAAATACTTTATTTTTTAATAATTATTACACAAAGTCATCTCTAAACAAGTGGGCCTTTATCCTTTATTTACAGGGTATCAGGTCTATCAGCATATATAGACAATGTGTATGCATGTATACATATGTGTGTTCTTACTTAATGACTAATGGGCTGTACTTTACTTTGATTTGTCGTTAGCTAACAATGAGAGGCCCCCCGGGGCCGATGGGGTTGGCAGGAAGATCTGGACTTTTGGTGAGTATCTCCATCTATCGACGTGTTGCCATTAGTGAGTTCTCCATGTGATAAAAGTACAGTGATTTAGATATATCCAAAGTACGTAATCGTGAATAAAAGGCTACAGAGAATTTTGTTTTCTGCGTCAAGACGCTCCAATCTAAATTTTGTGGCCGATTTCTGTTATCCAGTTTTCAGAAAAGCATGGATAAAAAAATATTATAAAAACATTATTCAGAGTATGTTTTCCTTGCTTTAATGTTGTAATTTGGCATGGGCCTACACATTTTATATTGCTGGCAACTGTGGCGTCATGCTGGCTGTGTGAAATGTTTGCTATGATCAAAGGATGATAGAGTTGATATCTTAAAATGAGTTTAACATCTCAGGTTTCTAAGCCTGTTAACATTTTCAGAAGTCTAACGTTCCATGACAGAAAGCATGAAATCTCCTTTGAACCTTCCTGTTAGCTGTTGGATGGCTCTTTCTCTCTTTTAGCAAATTAAGACACATTATTATGAAATATGCTTTTCTTGTGACAACTGATATTTTATAGTACTGCTTGAAAGAATATGAACATTCCTGTATTATGAATACGAATATTGTCATCCACATATTCAGTTTGGTCATATCTTTCTCAGACAGCTCAATGACGTTACCGGAGTCCTTCAATTCCTCTGCACCAGAGAGTTTGTGCTCATGGAAATATGACTCAGGGATACAGCTATAGTCTGTTTAAATGTCCTTCTTCCTGCTTCTACATAGGGACCCCCTGGGGCTCCTGGACTCAAAGGTGACAGCGGTGACTCTGGACCACAGGTGAGAGGAGTAGCTTTTTGGGGGGTTTTTTCACAGTAATACTTTTGAACTTTATATAACATCTATGTTGTTCCTCTTTGTCTGTTTCTAAAAACAAATAATAATACTGTACATTTACATATTCTGTACAGGGACCAAGAGGTCTTCAGGGTCCAACTGGTTCACCAGGGAAACCAGGAAAAAGGGTAAGGGTGATTTAAACATAAAACTGATTGAGTGGTTCATCTTCTCTATTGTAGCACTGCAGTGGTGATGTACATGCACATCATTTGGGAAGGTACAATTGATGGTATTATGGCTTTGTAAGCACTTATAACATTGAGTCAAACTAAGTCCCACTTATGGATTTATCTTAAAAAAAAAACACTTTACAAGCTCTGTTTATTTTTATTTTTTTGGTATTATGAAAAAAGGGATCGAGCATGATCTTACATATCACATACGCAAAAAAAAAAAAGTAATGTGTCTCAGAATCTAATCTGTTTTGTTGCAAAAAGTGTAAACATCAAACCCAGAACAAAAACAAAATACTTTGTAACGATGCTGGCTGAAAAACGTTACAGAGTTATTATCCATGGTGAACTGAGTCCCATACAGATATATGCTGAAAGGCTTGTCAGAGAGGAAGAAGCCATTTCTCCAAGAGCAACAGAAGAAAATACCAGATTACAATTTACAAATACACTTAATTTTTAGAGACATGTACTGTGGTTTCCCCAATGACTGTTGGATACGCTGGATGGATGAATGTTATGTGGTTTGATTAAATTACATTTAATGCGTTTAACCATAATGACCACTATTACATTTTGAGGAAAAAGAGGAAGCTTGTAGACCTGACAACATTATGTACAAATATGGATGTCGCAGCTGCAAACATAAGTCAGGAAGTTAAAACGTAGGCAGAAATGGAGCTTCCACCTGGTCAAAGGGCCTTGCACAGCACCAAATCAGCTGTAAAGTGGCTTGAGGAGAACAAAATCAGTTATATCTGGAGGAATGGGACAAATTCCCAGCAAAGGACGCTTGTGGAAGGATACGCAAAATATATGCACCTAACTCATACAGTGTAAATGGCAATTTTGATTTACCTGAAATATAAACGTTTTTTTTTTCTATTCAGTATGTGTAAATAACTTTTTTTTTTTTTTTTTTTTTTTTTTTTTAAGTGGGTTTTATTTTTTTTGCCAGTTTTAAAATTTGC